GTTGGATCTTTCTTCCTTGACCTTTCATGACATCTCAGGCAAATTTCTTGGCTTTCTGGTAACTTCCAGTTACATGAACAATTTTATTAGTCAATTGTGACTCATTTTCAGATATTAAAAAGACAAATCTAAATCAAATTTTCTATTATATATCCAATACAATACTTGTCCATCTCCATGACTGTAGTTCAGGATATGCTATACCCTTTCACTCTTCCCCCATCTCCTGCCACCTCCTTTCACTTTCAGCTCCTCTTGAGTCAGGTCAGAGAGTAGAAGAATCAGGAAAAAAGCGACTGAATTATTTTTAGTTAATAAGTGCTATTTGTATGATCTTCTACTGGCTCCAATGTCTGCTGCTGTGCACTCCAGGTAGCCAAATGCTGGCTGTTTCGGGGTGAAGGTGTTCCTTGGTTGATAGCTTGCAGTGCTTCCACGCCAGCCTCAGCTTCTGTACGCAGTGATACACCCAGTGACTTCTCAGTGGCCTCCCCCAACTAGGAGGACTCGTTGGCCCAGGAAGTCCCATCAAGATGGCCCAACTCAGCTGCCTTCCTCAGTACCATCTCTCTCTTAGGGAGGGCATATATTCTTGCCTCTCTGACAGCTGCCCCTGCACTGCTTTCCCTTCTCCACAACTCTATCTTGATGCCTCTCTTCAAACACTAATCCTTTCTGAGTTTCTAGTTTTCTCTTATGTGGACTGAAAATGGCTGATGGTGACTGCCAGATCCAGCTGGATTTTAACAAGTTCTAAGTCCATGTATGAGCACTGGTTGCCTATCATTGTCTGCTTTGTGTTTTCAGCTGAAATTCCAAGTGGATGGGAATTCCCAATTCATATCCTGTTAAGCATAGTTCTGTGATTATTTCATAAATACCTCTCTTCCCCACTAGATTTTGTCTCTACAAGGACTCTTTGTTTGCTCCTTACTGAACACTAAGACCAAGCGTTCAGCATCTGACATATAGTAGCAGCTAAATAAATATGTGATGAAGTAATAAATAAAAGAACAGGATGAGACACAAAGAAGACCATATTTGTATCACTACAACTCCCTGGTTTGTAAGGACAAGCAGATAAGGCATCATTTGAGCAACAGTAGAGAAGGCAAAGATTCCTAGAGCCTGGCTGCCCATCGGAACCATCCACAGAGCTTTTAAAAAATATCAATGCCTAACTTAATCTGCTGATGTGCTCATTCAGTAGATCTAGTTAAGAACCAGCGAGCTAAAGTGCATGAGAGATCCAAATTATGTGCTAGAAGGGTTCAGGAGAAGACAGGGTTGTATCTGGTTGAGAATATCAGGGAGACTTTCTGTAGAAAGTGATGCATACAGAAGATAAATGTGAACAGATGGAGAAAGAGGCATAGGGACGACATGGTTGGTAATGGCTTGCAGCTACTGCAGATGATATAAGCAAGGCACTGAGGTTAGAAAGAGAAGATTCGATTCCTAACAGAACCGAGGGCACCCATGGAGAGGAGAAGGAAGAAACAAGGGGTATGCAACTGCAAGTTGTTTGGATGCAAAAAATGTGGTCTTTTAAAGTTAGCAACAACCTAGGAAGTAAATATGTTAAGTGGTTAGGTGTGTCAATTGTGGATCAGACTGTCTAAATTACTCAGCTGTAGAAGGAGGATAATGCAATTATCATCACCTCAAGAGGTTATGATGAGGATTAAAGAAAGTGATGCTTGTCATGTCTTAGCACATTGTACATGTTCATTACATATCAGCTAGAAACGTCTTTTTAAAACAATTCTACTACCTAGAAAAATGGTGTGTGAGTGTGTGTGTATGTATGTGTGTAGTGGTGTGCAGAGCTAGTTTACACCTGCCAGTAAGGGCCAATTCTACAATTCTACATTCTATAACTTCCCAACTCTGCATTCAGTGAACGTCAGATTGTTAGCTTGAAATTGACCATGTCGGGGGTATTCACTCAAAGAAAATTAACAAAAGCTACAAATCTGAACCTTCTTTTTGAGAGCTAGGTTAGTGGCAAACTGTTAGTTGCTCTGGGAACATTGATGGGATTGGAATGGAATGGACCGAATTCAGTTGAAAAGTAAATAAATGATATAGGGATAAAAAGGCACACAAGTTGAGAAAGGAAGATTATCTGCCTAGGAAAGATAAAATAAGACCCCATCACTGGGGTGAGTGGCAGGTAAAAATGGAATCTGACTTTTATTCTGAGTCAATACTTCCTTCAGCATATTTTTCTACCCATCACTTCACCACTGCTTCTAAAATAAGTGTGAAAATAACTGAGTGAAATAGACACTGACAAGCTTTATCAACATCTGAGGTTCTGAAAACTCTCAGAGACATTTTCGAAGGTTCATTCTCTCTGGGAAAAAGAATGAGTTCAGAAAGACATAGATTACAATAAATTATCTGAGATGAAAAATAATAAAAAAGGAAGAGAAAAAATCCAACTTGTGTTGAAGAACAGAGAAAATACTGTAATACTTTAAGGATACAAAAAACCTTATTTTGTTGGTGCTGGGAAAACCGGCTAGCCAAATGTAGAAAGCTGAAAATGGATCCCTTCCTTACACCTTATACAAAAATTAATTCAAGATGGATTAAAGACTTAAATGTTAGACCTAAAACCATAAAAATCCTAGAAGAAAACCTAGGCAGTACCATCCAGGACATAGGCATGGGCAAGGACTTCATGTCTAAAACACCAAAAGCAATGGCAACAAAATCCAAAATTGACAAATGGGATCTAATTAAACTAAAGAGCTTCTGCACAGCAAAAGAAACTACCATCAGAGTGAACAGGCAACCTACAGAATGGGAGAAAATTTTTGCAATCTACTCATCTGACAAAGGGCTAATATGCAGAATCTACAAAGAACTCTAACAAATTTACAAGAAAAAAACAAACAACTCCATCTAAAAGTGGACAAAGGATATGAACAGACACTTCTCAAAAGAAGATGTTTATGCAGCCAACAGACACATGAAAAAATGCTCATCATCACTGGCCATCAGAGAAATGCAAATCAAAATCACAATGAGATACCATCTCACACCAGTTAAAATGGCAATCATTAAAAAGTCAGGAAACAACAGGTGCTGGAGAGGATGTGGAGAAATAGGAACACTTTTACACTGTTGGTGGGACTGTAAACTAGTTCAACCATTGTGGAAGACAGTGTGGTGATTCCTCAAGGATCTAGAACTAGAAATACCATTTGTCCCAGCCATCCCATTACTGGGTATATACCCAAAGGATTAAAAATCATGCTGCTATAAAGACACATGCACACATATGTTTATTGCAGCACTATTTACAATAGCAAAGACTTGGAACCAACCCAAATGTCCATCAATGATAGACTGGATTAAGAAAATGTGGCACATATACACCATGGAATACTATGCAGCCATAAAAAAGGATGAGTTCATGTCCTTTGTAGGGACAAGGATGAAGCTGGAAACCACCATTCTCAGCAAACTATCGCAAGGACAAAAAACCAAACACCGCATATTCTCACTCATAGGTGGGAATTGAACAATGAGAACACTTGGACACAGGAAGGGGACATCATACACCAGGGCCTGTTGTAGGGTGGGAGGAGGGGGAAGGGATAGCATTAGGAGAAATACCTAATATAAATGATGAGTTAATGGGTGCAGCACACCAACATGGCACATGTATACATATGTAACAAAGCTGCACATTGTGCACATGTACCCTAGAACTTAAAGTATAATAATAGAAAAAAGAAAAAGAAAACCTTGTTTTGTGTGGTAAGCAACATTAAAGAGAAGTTAGAGAAGTTATGAATGACACAGAAAAGAAAATATGAATATCCACAAATTGTATGAACACTTTAAGGCAGAAAAATAAGAATGCATCTATTCTTTTATTGGTCTACAAATTCACCCACTTCTGAGCCCCCTGGCAGAGATTGGCCTACTCCAAAGAAGAGATAATGGAAAAAGCCCACTTAAGAAGTTATCGCTTATAAACAAATAAATGAACATATTAAAAGGCTGTATCATCTGAAATTAAGCTTGTAAATGGGTGACATCGGACATCATCATTTGGTTCGAGAATATTAAGAACTATGAGAAACCCTGGAAATGATCAAGGACAACCATTTTATTTTGAAAATGAGAAAACAGACCCAGAGACTTTATCTGATTAAAATTTGACTCTAATTCAGCAATAAGTTATGACTAGCTTCTATGCTCAAGATATTGTTTTGACCATACTATGATGGCATTAAGATTTTGGACAGCCAACAAATTCAAAGGACCATTTCCTCCAGTGTGGAGAGTGGATCCCAAAGGCAAAATTAAGTTGATCAGAACCGGGAGCCCAGCAGTCTCCTTGGTCAAGTGTGTGGTCAACGTCCACTTCACTAACTCTGGAAACATTCCTTTCAATAAGAGTTCTCATTGCTTGAGAAGAATGAGAGGAAAATAAAGATAAAAACAAGATTTTTTTCAGCTGTCTAATTTCCATAAATGACATCATAAATTATATATTGCTGTTGCCAAGGAAATATAAGAAATACACAGCAGAGGGAAACAAAGAAATTGATTGCACCATAGACGACTAGTCATATGCTTTGGAGAATCACTCTGCCTTTTGAGATGTTATGATCAGTTCTTTAGAGGCACAAAGACATATTAGTTTTCTAAAAATACCCAATCATTTATCCATTCAGCAAAGAACAAAGAAAAAATCAGTACAATTCTCATAACCCTCTTTCTTTTCACAGCACATAGAATGAGGGGCTGTTTTCCTGCCATATTTACCAAGAATAGGGACAGTACTCATTATTCCACAAGACACCATCCTAGGTCCAGAATCTAAAGGCTCTACCTCCAAAACTCTCAAATACAAAATGGCTTTTTTCTCTAAGTTAACAACTAATTTCCAGTCAGTGAGTAATTTTTTTCCTGAAACATTCACTCAGTGGAAAACAAACGAAGAGGGAAAAAATTAAGTAAACAAATCTGAAAAAGAGGCCACAACACACAGAGATGGAGAAGCTCTAAACTTACCACTGAAGTAAAGCAGGCACTTAAAGTTTATCCCAAACAAAACTGTAATTTTAACTGGTCCCCGAGTTGAGCCTCACTCGATGAATGACTTCCAGGGCCTTTGGCTCTTTGGGACTAAACGAGAAAATTATTTTTAGCACAACTATTTGGAAATCTTTGAGAACTTGGATCTGTTATTCTGTCTGGTACCAAAGCAAGTTTTTCACTGAGCTCTCATGAAAGATCCTCAGTCTCTTGTGGATTTAGAATCCTGCAGCAGCCCACCATCTAAGAGCAAGGTATGGTGTTTACTCTTTTTTTTAGAATTTTGGCAAATGTAGATGGAATGGCCTATTCTCGTGATGGGAGCTTTTTAACTTGTTAAACAGATGATTCTGTAGGAAGATTCCATAAAACTAAAGACCTAGCTTCAAATCTCTGGACTGACACTAGCTTTCTAACCATAGACAAGTTGTGGGACTTCTCTGGACCTTGGTTCCCCATCTAACCTACCACAAGATGGTTTTGGGGAGGATGATACGGGCTTAGCATTGCTCTCTAGGATATAAAATGTTTTGCAAATGTTAGGGTTTTTTAAATCATTGTGCCATAAAGCAGCCAAAACTTTATCAATAATGAACTATTGACAATAATAAATATTGATGAATATTTTTTCTTCATTGAGTCTCTACTATAGACTAGTCTCTGTCCTAGAGTTCACATTTTAGTGAGGAAACAAGCAAGTCAATAGATAGCCATAACACAGTGCAATTGTGTGGCCTTGCAGGGACTTGAGTAGTGCCAGGAGGAGAAGGAGGTTAATTCATGGCAAACAGGAAAAGCAGTTCTGCAGAGGAAAATTGGAGCCCCCAAAGGCAAGGAGCTGAGGAACAACAACATAAAAGGAACTGAGGCATGAGCAGCTCAGGTCTCCATCCTGTCCCAATCACAGTGCCACTCCCGGTGCAACAAGAGAAGCACAGAGCCTGCTGTTGTGAAATCTCCACCTCTGCAGGCCAAGGAAATGTCTCATTTTGGCTTTCCCTGGTTACCTATTCTCTTCTTAATGATTTCCAGGCAAAGCACATTTCAACTTGAATTAATTATCAAGTCCAGCCCGTTGTCATGAAGTAATACGTTATAGTTTCCCTCACATCATGTAGGGACAAACTCAAGTGTTTGAAGACAAAAGAACTCAGTTCAAATTCTGGCTGCACAATTTCATGCCTGTGTGGACTTGAGCCCACCAAGTATCAATGTTCTTACTTGTAAGGTGAAGATAACAGCACTTACTTCATAACAAGTGGTGTGAGGATAAAGTGAAGGATGTCCTTAAAACACCTGGCACAGAAATAAGAATACTGGTCTGTCCCTGCATTCCAATTCATTTTTTTATTCAGTTTTTTTTTTATTATGGTAAAATACACATACTATAAAATTTACCACTTCAACCATTCTTATGTATATGGTTCTGCAGCATTAAATACATTCATATTGTTGTGCAATATCATCACTATCTCTCCAGGACTTCTTCATCTTCCCAAACTGAAACTCTGTACCTAAGAAACTATAAATTCCCATTCCCCTCACCCCTTCTTCTTCCAACAACGAGTATTCTACTTTCTGTCTCAATGAATGTGACTACTCTAGGAACTTTGTGTAAGAGGAATCACACAATATTTGACCTTTTGTGACTGACTTATTTCACATAATATAATGTCTTCAGGGTTCCTCCGTGTTGTAGCATGTGTCGGTATCTCCTTTCTTTTTAAGGCTGAAGAAGATTCCATTGTATGTGTAGACCAGGTTTTGTTTACTCATTCACCTTTCCATGGACACTTGGGTTGCTTCCACCTTTTGGCTATTGTGAATAACGCTGCAGACATGGCTGTGCAAATATCGGTTTGAGTCCCTGCTACTATGAACATGTGCAAATATTTGAGTCCCTGATTTTACTTCTTTTGGATATATGCCCCAAAGTGGAATTGCTATATCATATGGTAATTCTCTTTAATTTTTTTGAGGAGTCACTATATTGTTTTCCACAGGCGCTGCACCATTTTACATTCCCACCACCAACATATTTTATTTTTACAAGAAAAAAATATAATTGGAGTCTACTTACACTGGGGAAATAATAATATGCTATTTACAAAGGGATCTCAGTCTATGAACATGTTTTCCAGGAGTTCAGTCTTTGTACTGAGTTAATCAGTATTTCTCCAAGTATTTTCCGTGGCTAGTTTAGCAAAAACAAAGGGTTCCATGATTAAATAAATTCACAAAATACTATATACAACATTTCTGCCTCAAATATAAACACATTAACATGGAGGCTCACGAATCTAAAGTAACACAAATTAAATTTTTTAAATGTGTTTTAAAAACAAAAACCTGTTGCTTTGTAATCCCTACAGAAAAATAGGACTGAGGATTATTTATAATTAGCATCCAGGACAGACGTATTCAAGATTAACAGTATTTCCAGGCTGGGCACGGCAGCTCACTCTTGAAACCCCAGCACTTTGGGAGACTGAGGTGGGCAGATCGCTTGAGTTTAGAAGTTCAAGACCAGCCTGGGTAACTTGGCGAAACCTCATCTCTTCAAAAAATACAAAAGTTAGCCAGGTGTGGTGGCACACACCTGTAGTCCCAGCTACTCATGAATTCAATTAAATGTTTTAAAGCATGTTGTATGTGGAGTGACAGCTAAGGGGTACAGGTTTCTTTTTGGAGTTTTAAAATAGTCTTTAATTGGATTGTGATGTACATTGAGTTGTACACTTTGGTAAATTTTATGGTGTGCAAATTATATCTTTATAAAGCTGTTAAAAATTATTATAATGTTTATGAAATTGTGACCCACATGGTTTATTCCCAGTCAAAATAACCAAGTTCACTGCAAGGCAGTGGGGGAGTGGGTAAAGAGTGGATTATTCAATACAAGGAGTTAAAAATATAAAGTTGTATCCCTACCTCACACTTTTTATCAGAAAAATTCTGATGGAACAAATTTTTAAATGTGAAAAAAATGAAACAAAAATTGAAAGAAAAGCACAAGGATTCTTTTCAGGACCTTGAAGTGGTGAAGGCCTTCTAAACACAATAAATTGAACCTCAAAAAATAGTTTCATGGTAAAAATATTTTAAAATACATGAGGAAAGACAAAGGACAAACTGGGGGAAATTATTTGCTGCTCACATCATAAGCCATTTGTAGATAGATAGATAGATAGATAGATAGATAGATAGATAGATAGATAGATAGATAGATAGATAGATTCATTGCACCATTGCTTATAATAGCAAAAGAAAGAAAATAGTCCAAATACCCATCAGTAGGAAACTGGTTAAATATTACAAACACATCTATATGATGGATTTTTTAGCCATTAAATTAAAAAGGACAAGACAGCTCTACACATACAGGTGTCAATACAGAAGCTATAAATACTCATATGGAAACTAAGTGAAAAGGCAATGCACAGAACATTGTATATGGGATGCCAACATGGGAAGGAGGACACACAAGAAACTGGCACAGGTGATCACCTCTAGGGAGGGAACCTGGGTATCCAGAAGACTCAAAGGGAGGAGAAGAAATTGACTTTTCATTGCATACTCTTTTTTTCTTTTGAATTCCCTATAGAAGAAAAGTTAATATTAAAATATTTTTTAAACACCCTAGACTATGTCACATTAAAACAACTCAAGTTTTTTATTTGTATTTCTCAAACACTGCAAAAAGGACACACAGACTCCAGGGAGATTTCTTCAAACCCCATTTCCCTCTTTCTTGTGTAATGTTCTCATATTTCATAATTTCTCACCAGTTTTTTTCCCCCACAAAGCTCAAACCTCCCCACAAAATTATCCTCTTTCTCCAGCCATGTTTTTTGGGTTAAGCCCTGCTGTAGGTGGTTGGACACATCCATGATTTCAACAACGATCCCTGCCCTCATGTAGCTTACATTCTATCAGGGAAAATGTTGATATAAAATAAAGATAGGAATTAGCTACTGAGTTAGAGGTGAGAAGTACAATGGAGAATAGAAAAATGTAGAGCAGATAAAAGGAAGGTCATGGGCAGAAGAAGGCAGATAAGCATGGTGATAAGGGTTGAACTTAGTGACAAGATAACATTTAACCAAAAATGTGAAGAGGGAGATGAAGAAGTAAGCTATACGGACATCTTGGTGAAGAGGGATTTAGACAATGTGAAGAGACACGTGAGACCCTAAGGCGGGGCATAACTAGTGTCTTTGAGGAGCACCAAGGAATCCAGTGTGACTGGAGGTGACAAAGTGAGGAGAATAGAAGATGAAGATGAAGTCAGGGAAATAAGGAGGGCCTTGTAGACCATCGCGCCATGTAACATGAAGTTTTGGACCCTTAAGTGCAATGAAGAACCAAACAGCGTGATGCCACTGTGATTTTTGCATTATAATCCACACCCCGTGGTCTTCTTGCATCAACTGAGTCCCAATATTTGACTGACCAGTCACCATCGTGCCACTAGCATGCATCAGGCACCACAACACATTGTTCCTCAATTATTTTTGTCTTTTCAGACAGGGTCTGGCTCTGTTGCTCAGGCTAGAGTGCAGCGGCACAATCTTGGCTCACTGCAACTTCCACCTCCAGAGTTCAAGTGATTCTCTTGCCTCAGTCTCTCGAGGAGCTGAAATTACAAGTGCACGCCACCATGCAGGGCTACTTTTTGTATTTTTAGTAGAGACAGGTTTCACCATATTGGCCAGGCTGATCTTGAACTCTTGACTTCGAGTGATCCTCCCACCTGAGTCACCCAAAGCGCTGGGATTACAGGCGTGAGCGACCACACCCAGTCTGTTCCTCAATTCTGATAAGGATTTTTATGGAATAATCACTTTGAGTGCCTTTTTAAAAGTTTTAATTGGGAATGCTTGAAGCATTTAGACTCCTGTACAGGCAGTAGTATTGTAGTGCATTTGTCATGAAAGCGATCCATTTATTCAAGGAATAAATCTGTTTCCATTGTTTTAATGTATTCCTTCTTTGAGTGACTTTTTGCCTGGCTATTGGCAATACTGAATATCCTTTCTTCCAATCACATCTTTAAAATTTCTGCTTCCTTTGTCCACCATCAACTAGACCCTTACCACACTCTTCTTCACAGACTGTTCCTATGACTATTGGCATAGTTGTGCTTTCACACCTGCATCACCGTGTCTGAGAAGCCACTGTCCAAATCAACTTCTCTGCAGATGCTTTCAGGTCCTTCCTGAAAGCAACTCTGGCCTCAGCCTATACCCTTGCACCCCATAGCTAGTTAAAAGCCTCATTATGAGTATCTTCTATAAACCTTTATTTTTTTCGTAGAGATGGGGTCTTTCTATGTTGCCCAGGCTCCTCTCAAATTCCTGAGCTCAAGTAATCCTTCAACCTCAGCCTCCCAAAATACTGGGATTACAGATGTGAGCCACCATACCCAGCTTTTTTTTTCTGGGGAGGGGAGTGCATTTATTTTTCTGGGAAGGGAGGTGATTTTATTGCTGTCCTTCTCCATCACCACAGCATAGTGGGCCCTGCATGCTCCAGGCCTGCATCATGTATCACCACAGCAAAAACATGATGTACTTGAACATGTTCCCTCCCAGGATATATATTAAAATTTTTTAAAGAAAAGAGAATAAAGTAATAACTTAAGTGATTAGGCACCAACAGCAATTTGAAAAATTAAATGTCCATTTTAAATGGTAACAAGACAAGAACTTAAGATTGGGCTTACTCTAGCCCATCGTCTCTTCCTGTCAAATTGCAACAATTCTATGGGCAATGATTCTAAATTTCAAGACACAAGTAGCAGACAAATACGTGACAACACATATCACCAGTAATCACAGGACAGCCTGCATCTCCAGGAGGCCTCCTCGGCAGGTAGCCCACTGTGATTCCAGGCCCCAAAGAGCTTGGCAAGTTCTAGAAAGGTGACCCCCTGAGGAAGCGCTTTAGAGCTCCTGAGATTAGCCTTGCTTCCCCCACATTTTAAAAATGAAGCCTCAGACAGGGCCACTTTCTCATTCCTTCTGAAAGCCGCCTCTAATCAGCCTTTCGCAAGGGAGAGGGAACTGCTAATTTAATCGATGCATCTTGTTCTCTTGTTCTGACCATGGCAGAGGGTGTGAACAGAATGTTCTTTCCATATATATATATTTTTTATCTGCAGCTCCTTTGGAAGGCCTGTATTGAATGCACTGGGCTTGTCAGAAAGTGCCTTAATCCCAGTTGAGCAATAGAATCAATAATTTTGGATTTGTGCTGTATGACAAGTCTACCACACAGGGCATGGCAAAAATGTTCTCCTTGCTTTTTTTTTTTTTAACTAGTAACACTGAGATTTAGTCAAAGTTACAGAGCCTGAATTCGGATCAGTTGCTCTGGTTTTTCACTAATAAGATTTCTAGGAATCAGGCTTACTTCAAAATCACATGTGCACACTGTGTTTTTCTTAGTTTGTCATTCCTATGCTCTGGCAAATTTCTGGGTCTAATTCCAAGATGTTGCAATTTCCCCCTGGGTACCACAAAAATGGTGATGTGTGCCTGGTCAATTTTCTTACGTGGCTGTCAAAAAACAAAAGAAATTTCATCTGATTGCTTTCCCCACATTTTGTGATTATTTCCTTTGGGAGTGTATCCACCAGGTCAAGCACTATACAGATTTCTTGTTAAAGCACAGGTCCAATCATCCAAACACAACTCATTTACATGACCCCAGAACCACCTGTATATATTCTTCCCTTTAAAAAACTGCTAATCCTAAGGAGTATTTAGCCTAAAAAATCAGGTATCCCCAATCTATACCATTCTCCATCTCACCGTCAGCCTATATGCCAAAGTGCCTACTGATAAATGGCCCATCGTTCTCAGCTTCTAGGCTTTGTCGGGGAGTAGGGTTGGGGCCCAGGTCCTATTAGATCAGAATTGAAGAGACCTGCTGCCTGCTTCACTTGGGGCATGTGAGCCATGCGCGGCTTAATTTCACACGGCTCTTTAATTGAGCCCCAGTGCTAACAGCTTAATGGGACACCACGGCATTACATCCTGCAGATTTTAAATTAAAGTTTGAGACCCCCCTCAGGACATGCACAGTACTCCAATTAACACTAATTGGCATTACACATGATTACCAAGTGAAAAACATGGTTTTCCTGAAAATGCCTCCTCTTTTCTCCAGCTTTCAATAGTCCATAAATTCTAAGGAAACAATCATGAGTGCATGCAAAGATTAGCTAGAATGATATCTAGCATGATGTTTATATTGGGAGAACTTTGGAAACAACCTAAATATCTACAATGGGGGTTCTGTATGTAAAAGATAACGTAAAAGCAATTATTTTTTAATGTTACACATAATTTTGACATAGGAAGGCGTTCATGATATATTGTCAAGTGAAAGAAGTTAAAGAAGTATAGAAATGGCATGGTATCACTTTCTTCATAGTATAGACAAAAGAGACTGGAAGGATATATACACTAAAATGTAAATCTCAAGGTGGTAAAAATAATGGTGATGTTTACCTGTTTCATTTCCAGATCTAAATTTTATTCTTTAAAAAATGCACTACTTTTCCGAAAAGAAAATGCCATTTTTAAGTCCATCATTGATTTCCGAAGAATAAATGCAGTGATTTCTTTTGAAATGTGTTTAACCAATTCTTCATCTGCACCGACTCCTGTGTAGGGCACTGAGGATTCTATATCAATTATGTGTTAATAATTTTCAATGGAATTATGAAGGTAAATGGGGTTTTACATGTGTGGAAAGATGAACACTAGAGTGAATTGTTGCAAATGCACATCAGTTCACACTGATTTAATCATGCCAAACCACCCCCCTCCCCATACAGAAAGTTCATTTATGTCCATATGTTTCTCTTCCAGAGCCAAAGATGTTTGTCTTGCTCTATGTTACAAGTTTTGCCATTTGTGCCAGTGGACAACCCCGGGGTAATCAGTTGAAAGGAGAGAACTACTCCCCCAGGTATATCTGCAGCATTCCTGGCTTGCCTGGACCTCCAGGGCCCCCTGGAGCAAATGGTTCCCCTGGTCCCCATGGTCGCATCGGCCTTCCAGGAAGAGATGGTAGAGACGGCAGGAAAGGAGAGAAAGGTGAAAAGGGAACTGCAGGTAATGAATGAGAGGTTGCATAAAACACCCTCCTTCACCCCCACCTTAAAACTGTTCCCCTTTCTTTGTTACTTTTTCTAATGGGAATTGCTCCTGAAACCCCTTCTCTACTTTCATTAATCATAAAAATTTACTGAGCCCTTACTAGGCTTCAGATGCTTCCCTAAACTCTGTACCTGCATTCTTATTTCACTGTAATGTCAACACTTTCAGCTGAACACTATCCCATCTTATAGATGAGAAAATTGAGCCACAGCATGATTAAATGAATTACTGAGAATGGACCGGAGTGGACATGCACTGCCAGTAGCTGCCAGAGCTGGACTCAAACATCTGATGCCCAGAAGTACTGGGCTATTGCAGCCAGCAGGCAATGGCTGGATGTGCAAGCACATGGATGGACAGACAGATGGACAGAAGGGGAAATGGACAGACTAAGCAGAGGCAAAAACCAGGAGGCAGATGCACGGATGCCATCCTGCTCAGCATGAATATCCTGAACAAAGATACATAAAGGGCTTCTAAATTTTATTTTTCACAGATGAAGTGACAATAGCACTGTAAAGCCTACCTTTCCTAGCTCATCACTTTCCCACCTGACACATAGCAGCTAAAAAGTAGATTTTTACAGCTCTTTACAGCAACATAATTGCCCAATAGTCCTTCAGTAATTTTCACTTTGTTTCCCCCCAAAATAAGTAGGTCCAGGAAGCTTGCCAGATTTTTCAGTCCTTCAGAGTAAACAGAATTGAAATTCTAGACAGGCTGTGTTAACTCTAAAAGAGGAAGGGATTTGGAATCAATCTTTCAAGACAAGTTGCTGAGCATAAAAGTTGGGACAAAAGATAGGAAGGAAAAAATTCTATGTATCTCCAATCACCACTCTTGATTTACTGAGTTCTGTAAAACAAAATCATAATATATATTCAGATTATTGGATAATAATTCATTTGTGAATTTGCCATGCGGATAATATTTGGCAAATCAATTATCAAATCTATGAACATTACGCAATAATAGATAAAGAACCTTTAGGGAAAACTTCAACATCAGATAAGAAGCTTTAATTTGGAGCTAAAATGTAAGTTTTCAAAGACATGTGTAAGGTAACACCTGTGAATACAAGTTACACTGAGTCATAATTATGAATATTCTTGAAATCCTATAATAACACCAGGATTATAGTTATATATTGCTTTTTGTTTGGGTCTGGAAGCAATAACGTAGTGGCTATACAAACAAACATTGGAGTCAGAAAGACTTTGGCTCAGATCTTAGCTCTTTCGATGACTAATCTAGTATCCTTGGCCACATATCCTCTTTGAGGCTCAGTTTCCTCATTTGTAAGTTGGTGGTAATAAGCGTGATTGTTAAGTTTAATGGCAAGAGTACATGCAAAACCCTCCACAGGATAACTGCCATGTGATAAAAACTCAGGAAATGTTATAACTTATTAAATTTTGATCTGCAAATATGAGTCACAGCTAAATTTGTGACTAGCCAAAGCCATATAATTAACTAGACATTGGTAATTCATTGCATGAGGTAGTTCTAATGTTAAAGACGTATATGTGGATATGCATTCAGATTAAATTAAATGTTCAGAACTGCTACCGTTTTAACCATATATGAGGCCAGCTATACTACCACATTCATAGATCCATTCATTCATCCATGTATCCAGGCATTATTCATTCAATAATATTTCTGTGCACCTATTACTATCCAATATTATTCTTCCAGTGTTTCTCAACCTCTACACTAATGAGAACTGGGGTAGAATAATTATTTACCGTGGAGTCACTGTTCTGTGCATTGTAGGATGTTCAATAGCATTCCACTAGATGCTAGTGGCACTCCTCTCCAAACTGACAATCAAAATTTTTCTATATGTAGCCAGCTATGCACTGGGTAGAAAGGTGGACAGTGCAAAATTTCACCTGGTTGAGAACACTGTTCTAGACACTGGGAACGCAAGCATAAGACATTGTTCTTATGTTGATAAGCAGACATTCATGTGGGGGAGGCCAATATATACAGACATAATTAAAATACATCATCATAATAACCATTTACTAAGAACTTACTAGGACCTTTACGTTTCATATTTAATATCTACTATAACCCTATTAGCAATAATGATAATCAGCAATAAAATTAATGTTACAAATGAAAAAAATAAGATTCAAAAACAAAATGACTTTCCTAACCTGAGATTATTTAAATACAATATACACACATAAGGATACATAACAGCTCAGAAAGAAAAGGTAGGAATGACTATGTGATTGATGAAGAGAGGTGTACCTCACTTATAAACTACAGGAAGAGACTGGGAGATTTGGGGATGTGTTTTTAATATGGCTGTAACTGGCCACAACCTGGCTGGGAGTGCCTGCTCCCTGTTTCCCCTTTAATGACACTACAAGTGCCTTCTCATTCACGTACTCTTGGTGAATACCCTCACCACATCCAACCCAACCATGTCCAATCAGGCATAATTTTGGTCCAACTTCCCTATCCTAAATGAGAAATGCAGAGTTTATTACACTCAGTTATAAATTTTCTATTAAAGAATCTGTCTCCCTCACTGGTCTGTTGCAATGATTACTGTAGCATAATATTAGCATTTAATTTAATCTGGGTACCTATCCATATAAAAATCTTCAGATAACACTAGAATAACCTCATGAAAAAGATCATTCATTCCAGTTTATCATATGGATTTAGGTATTTGTGAATTTAACTATGGCCCATATTTGCAGATCCAAGGTCATAAGTAATAACAGCTAATTTGAGGGTCGGGCAGATGTCTTTCATGCCCATGTTTCACTTAGCCCCTAGTCCATGACTGGTATGTAGTAGATGGTCAATTAATGTTAGATGGTTTACTTGGATGCATGCATATATGCATAGATCCATGGATAGATGGATGGAAGGATAGAATGAATGAATGGATGGATGGAAGGAAGAAATGGTAAGGAAGAAGAAATCTAGGAAGACCCATTTCATGGAGAACTATAAAGAAACCCTTTCTGATCTAGTTTCAATACCTAAACATAGACTAACCCTTACCCCCATAATCCTCCACTCTACCCAAGCATACATCTGACTAAATAGGGAGAAGGACAATGACTCATCCCTTCTTTCCATTCTTAATGTGTGGAACCTAAGCAGGCGAGCAAATTCTTCATACAAACAGGAAGAATAACTATACATTATTACAGCTAGTCCATGATTATGTATCACCCAATTCAGCAACTCAAACAAACGTTATTCTAGAAAATCCAAACTTTCAGGCTGTGAAGGTGTTTTTGTGGACAGCATTGTAAAATTGCATCCCAAAGTGTATGATTTGGTATCAAGGAATTTTAAGAGGGTGAGACCTCAAACGATCTAGTCCAACACCTTCATTTCAAGGACTGGGAAACTAAAGCCAGAGAGATCAAGCCCTTTCTTAAAATTCACCTAACTGATCCATGGCTGAACTGGGGTTTTATCCCAGGTCTGTTTGCTGCTTTGCCCAGTAAGTTTGGATTGGACTTAGATCCAATCTCCCCTTATTACAAATGGAGCATTTAAAACCCAGAGAAGAAATGACTTGCCAAAAATTTAAATTTAGGTTTGGCTTAATAAAAGTTCTCAAGAATAAATACATAGGTAAAGTAAAACTACACAATTCATCAGCAATATGTTATATTATATATAACATATATGATATTATATTATATTGTATTATATAATGGCATCACAACCAGCTACCCAGAAGAAAGACTACCTATTATATTTAACAAGGTCCTCTTCAATGAGGGAGAGCACTACAACCCTGCCACAGGGAGGTTTATCTGTGCTTTCCCAGGGATCTATTACTTTTCTTATGATATCACATTGGCTTATATATTATATATATTATATATGTTATATATAATATATATGTTATATATAATATTACATTTATTACACTTTTCTTTCTGAGCTGTTACGTATCCTTATGTGTGTATATTGTATTTAAATAATCTCAGGTTAGGAAACTCATTTTGGTTTTGAATCTTATTTTTTTATTTGTAACATTAATTTTATTGCTGATTATCATTATTGCTAAAAGGGTTATGGTAGATATGAAATATGAAATATAAAATATATTCAATATATTATATATAATATGTTATATATATAAAATCATTGCTTTTTTATATCTATACAATGCCTTATATGTAAAATGTCAATGTCATATATGAATCAATGTCTTATATATAATCTATTTTATATATAAAACATCAATGTCATATACAAAATCAATGTCTTATATAGATTTTATATATATAAAATATTGTATATATGTGTTATATACATAATCTATTTAAATTTTAAACCATTTATATAAATTAAATTGATTTTGCTTATTTCCTTCAACCAGGATCACCATTTTTCTGTATTTAGCCTATAGTTGGTCTGCACATATAAAGATTTAGACACACAGAAAATATTCCTGTATGGTGATTTGGAATTTGTGAAAATTCTTTCATAGCAATTATGTTTTTTCTGTATATAAAGAGACTCAGAAAAATTAAGGGACTTAACTAAAATGATACAACCGTTTAGTGACAGAGCCAAACACTATTTAAGATTCTTGACTCCAGCCCCAAAGGTAAAAGGCATTTTGATGAACAGGAAACATCATTCAAGTAAGAAGGCTTGGATGCTAGTCCAGATACAGAGGAATTTTTTTTTTTTTTTTTTTTGAGACTGAGTCTCGCACTGTCACCCGAGCAGATGTACAGTAGCGCAATCTCTGCTCGCTGCAACCTCCACTTCCCGGGTTCAAGCGATTCTGCTCCCTCAGCCTCCTAAGTATCTGGGACTACAGGCGTGCACGACCACGTCTGGCTAATTTTTGTATTTTTAGTAGAGACGGAGTTTCATCGTGTTAGCCAGGATGGTCTTGATCTCCGGACCTCGGCATCCGCCCGCCTCGGCCTCCCAAAGTGCTGGGATTACAGGCGTGAGCCACTGCACCCACCCCCAAAGCAAGTTTTTTTTACCTGTCTGGGACTCAGTTTTCTCCTCACAAAAGAAGCTACTGCATGGTGGTGGCAGTCATTGTTTTTTGGTTATTGTAGCATGTTGAGCCCTCACTATGTGCCAGATGCGCTTTCGAATGCTACGCTCCTGCTGGCCGGGCATGGTGGCCCAGGCCTCCCAAATCTCAGCACTTTGGGAGACCAAGGCAGGCGGATCACCTGAGGTCAGGAGTTCGAGACCAGCCTGGCCAACATGGTGAAACCCAGTCTCTACTAAAAATACAAAAAATTAGATGAGCGTAGTGGCAGGTGCCTATAATCCCAGCTACTTGGGAAGCTGAGGCAGGAGAATCGCTTGAACCCGGGAGGTGGAGGTTGCAGTGATCTGAGATCACGCCACTGCACTCCAGCCCTGGTGACAGTGAGACTCCATATCCAAAAAAAAAAAAAAAAAAAAAAGTTTATTATTTAGTAATACACTGTTAAAGGTAACCTGAAAAGACAAAGTTGGGATGTGCTGGGACCACGTAGGTATACTGTTTGTGATTATATCTTTCGAGGAACTATTAATCAAACTATATACTCTTTTTGAAGGTTTGAGAGGTAAGACTGGACCACTAGGTCTTGCCGGTGAGAAAGGGGACCAAGGAGAGACTGGGAAGAAAGGACCCATGGGACCAGAGGGAGAGAAAGGAGAAATAGGTCCAGTTGGTCCTCCTGGACCAAAGGGAGACAGAGGAGAACAAGGGGACCCAGGGCTGCCTGGAGTTTGCAGATGTGGAAGCATTGTGCTCAAATCCGCCTTTTCTGTTGGCATCACAACCAGCTACCCAGAAGAAAGACTACCTATTATATTTAACAAGGTCCTCTTCAATGAGGGAGAGCACTACAACCCTGCCACAGGGAAGTTCATCTGCTGTCTCTTATACACATCTAGATGTGTATAAGAGACAGCACAACCAGCTACCCAGAAGAAAGACTACCTATTATATTTAACAAGGTCCTCTTCAATGAGGGAGAGCACTACAACCCTGCCACAGGGAAGTTCATCTGTGCTTTCCCAGGGATCTATTACTTTTCTTATGATATCACATTGGCTAATAAGCATCTGGCAATTGGACTGGTACACAATGGGCAGTACCGGATAAAGACCTTCGATGCCAACACAGGAAACCATGATGTGGCTTCGGGGTCTACAGTCATCTATCTGCAGCCAGAAGATGAAGTCTGGCTGGAGATCTTCTTCACAGACCAGAACGGCCTCTTCTCAGACCCAGGTTGGGCAGACAGCTTATTCTCCGGGTTCCTCTTATACGTTGACACGGATTATCTAGATTCCATATCAGAAGATGACGAATTATGATCAGTACCAAGATCCCTGTGGTAGACACTCTGATTGAATCTGGGGTTCCAGGAGGTGGAACAAGTAGGAATGGGATCCAAAGAGACTCCCACTCAGATTCTAAAGCCTTTAAAGACAATTCCAGCAGAATTTATCAAAACAAGATGAAACACAGAAAAATTGAAACCACAACAAAATGAATTCTATTAAAGAATAGCCCCAGATATAAATTCTTTTGAAAGCAATGTTCATAAATATTTAAGCAAATTAAAGACAATATTAACAAATTTTCTATTAAATGCCCTGAGTGACAAAACCAGTTGGCAATAATATTGCCTCATTAAATCTTCAAAAATATATTTTAGTCTGTTATTTAAGAGAAACATAACATAACATCCCAAAATCTTTGACAATTCTCGAAAGGCTATATAGTAAGTCAAAAACCAAAGGTAAGAGATGCTATTTTTCAAGCAAGCTACAGAGAAATGACAAATGTCTTGTTTTATTATTTATTCCTTCATGTTTGTATATATTCACTCAACAATCCTTTGATGAGCCTGTAAGGACCAGACACTGTGGCGCTGAATCAGATTTAATAATGAGTTAAGACAAAGCCCCTGCCTATGGGCTAGTGTGTGGTGATCAAACGATCACAATTCAGTGTGATGAGCAGCATAGCAAACAGATGGATTTGATGCTAAAAGCACACAGGGTCTGCTATTCCTGAGACTGGGGTCCAGAGAAGCTTTTACACATGGAAAAACACTAATCATGCCAAGGTGTATGTGTTTAAGTGGGTGTGATGGATGCAAAGAGAATGAGGAATTCAGCATTGCATTCTCTTTGCACCCTCAATGCTTATTGGTATTCTCAACAGCGAAGGGGTGAAAAATCTAGAGACAGAGGAGGCCTGGCAGAGGTGATAAAAATGAAGACTGAAATGAAGAGAAATAGCCAGTAGGTGATTCTTGTAAATCCTTTAGTGTGATGGTTTCCCAAGACAAATATTTGTCCTAATAGCTTTCTCATAAATATGGGCACCACTTTACATTGTGGTAAGACATTGCTTCTCATGGATCTGCTAGGTATTTAGCTCAAATAAAGCAAGGCATGTGTTCACTGATTTATGAGTAAGCTGATGAGAGTAATGAACAGGAGAAGGAGGGAGAGAGACCAAACGTCTGAGTAAACAGACATACCTTCCAAGTCTCACACCTCCCTTAGTCCCACTCTTGCTTATGTCAGCACCTTGTTCTTCACTGAACTGCAATTCTTCAATTATTCTCTTCCATGTTTCTGTCTGATCTACTGTTCCCATGGTTTATGGTAATAGTGTTTCCTTCATCCCTCCCTTTTGGTAACTTCCAATCCTCCTTCTATGTATTCCTTTCTCTGCTCATTGACTTATAAATAGTTTTCATACCTCTTATGTTTGAATCACCATGCTAGATTCTGTGAAGACAGAAGAGTATTAAGATTAAAATATTAATAGTATAGCCCTGACTGGTAAATTTCTTTTTTTTAATCTTCCCCAATTTAAATTTTGTAATTTAAAAGTAAATTTTACTGTCGAAAATGCAAACTTGGGGAGGGCAGAAGCATCACACACAAGGCTGCCACTTCACACCTGGAGGGTTGCATGGCAGCCAGGCAAAGGTGCTTCTCACTTCACAGACAGAGGGACGGCTGGGCAGAGGTGCTCCTCACCTCCCAGATGGTGCAGGAGCCAGCTCTGACTAGTACATTGCCAAGGATACAAGAAAGGAAATGGCATGCACACACACAAAATACCTATAATTTTGGAAGAGAAAATGATAAAATATGCTAAGTTCTAGGCTGGAAATAAGGGCGAAATACTGTGAAAGAAGAGGAAATGTTTACTTCCAAATTAGGATGCGACAGAGAAGGGATATGGAAATCCTCTCTGTTCACTGGACCTTATGTGATGGGTGACACTTGGAGTGGCACAAGTTGGGGAAAAGCACACTTGAGACAGAGGTAATGATGGGGATGAAGTGAGAACAGAGACCCAGAAGCAGAATCAATGGACCATATTTGTAAGAGCTTTGAAAGCCAGCCTGAGAACTGGAGAGTTTATTCATAAGAAAGTGCGGAGACCCTGTGTATTTCAGAGCTGGATACTGCCATTAACACAGATGAAAGTTGCAATCATCTAGCAGTTGTGTGTAAGGGCAAGGCTAACTTTTCCTGTCTTTCAACCCTATCTTGCTTTCACTGTCTTCATCTGCCTGCCATATTTGTGCACTTATTGCCCTCCTTCTGAGTCAGGACATGTGTACAGGAGACCAAGAACAATGAATATTAGAAAAAAAGGAGAGAGCAAAGGTGGTTTGAGGTAGTCACCTGCTTACAAATAATAGCCAAAGATAGAATTCCAAGTTGTAAAGCATAAAAAATAGCCAACAGAAGTAACTAATTTGGGAAAAATGAACATATGGGCCCTTTGAAGACTACAGGATTTGCTGGATAAAGTGGAAATGGAGAAGTTATTGCAGACAGTCATGAACCACAGATTACTGTGATTAAAATTTTCTTCTGATCGTAATCCACAAATGCATTCATTTTTTGGACATTGCTTGCTTATCTTTTAAATGTTTCTTTTATTACAAAGCCTATTTTGAGTAGCTTTTAAAACTGAATTTTCTTTAATTGGTTCGAAGCCTTGAGATGAATTTCATTTTGAAATATCTGGTGGGATGGTAAAGAGAACTGACATGAGAAAGGAGGAGTTGTTTTGGTATTAAATGAATCAAATCTTAAACAAATGTAGGTGTCTTTTATTCTTAAAAAATAGCAGATACAGTTTATCCACATTTGTAAATATTTGTATAAAGAAAGTAGCAGAACAATTTTGGTTTAAAAAATTCCAAGTCTCATTCTAATCGTTCTTTGTAAAGGCTGACTTGTAATGAGTACGTATTAAGCAATATTTATTGACTCTATACTATCTTGTTCTAGAAGAGTTTAAAGTCACTTACGAAGATAAATTAAGATATAAAAAGAAAACAGCAGTAAAAAGCAGATGAGAAGAAATAGGAAAAACAAAGAAAAAAGAAAATAATGAGGCTAATATAATACTGTGTGTACATGAAAATGCATGTGCCTGTGTTACATATTTTCAGGTCACAAATGTTTCTTTGTGCCCCTGAATGCACAAAGGTATTTCCAGGTCATTTATCATTGTGAATAATGTTGCTTATGATAAAAAATAGATTCCATAAACTCTAAATATCTTTTTTTCTACCACTCTGTGTAAAAGATCATGAACGTAAATAAATTTTAGATATGAGCTGGGTAAGTCCATTTGCATTGCTATAAAGGAATACCTGAGGCTGGGTAATTTATAAAGAAAAGAGGTTTATTTTGGCTCACAGTTCTGCAGGCCATACAAGCAGCATGGTGCCAGCATCTGCTTCTGGTGCAGCCTCAGGAAGCTTCCAATCATGGTGGAAGATGAAGAGGGTGCCACCATCCTATCACATGGTGAGAGAGGGATCAAGAGAGTGGGGCGGGGAGGTGTCACACTTTTAAGCAACCTGATCTCACATAAACTCATTAGCATGAGGACAGCACCAAGCCATTCATGAGGGATCCACCCCCATGACCCAAATTCCTCCCACTAGGCCCACCTCCAACATTGGGAGTCATATATCAACATGAAATTTGGAAGGGACAAAAACATCCAAACCACATCATTAGGTTTCTCTCTTTGTCTCTCTCTCTGTGTAGCTCCACTTTAAGTAAATAGCATCATTACCTACCTTGCACCAAAGCCAAAACCCTAAGGTGCAAGCTAAATGTCTTCCCTCCCTTCCCTACTGAATTTTGCCCAGCATAAAATTCTTATGGTTCCAGCCACTAAATGCACATATCTGATTCACTGCACATTTCCATTCCCGGTGCGAAAGGTATCATTTATACATTCATCATCACTTCCCTCAATCAGTGAAAAACGTTGTAACTGGCCCTTTGCCTCCAACCACAACCCTCCAATCCATCCTCCACACTAGATTGAGTATATCCTTTTAAAATGAAAATGTGCATGCCATTTCCCAGCTTAAAAAACAGCAATGACCCTCCCGACCCCTCCACTATAAAAGGTATTTTGAACTTCTATAGGTTTGCCATCAGGTGTGTATTTCACATTGTTTTCTGGTATCCATACCTAAATTCCTTCCGAAGGACCATCTTCCTTAACATGCTAAGTCTATGAGCTTCTCAGTGGAATTGACACTTCCAGTATGTAAATCTCTAGCCTAATTAATCAGAGTATAGCATCCCACTCACCAAAATAATTGATTCAGATGACTCTGTGAGAGTCAGTGAAACTTTGCTGGGACATCTATAGAAGAGAATCTCCTTCTTTTCCATTGGACTTGAGCCTGTGAACCTCCACCAGCCACATTACCAACACAGAGCATAATACCATGCAAGAATAGACCCATGTACA